ACGCCTTGGGCGGCCCAGGGTTTCACTGGTTTGGCTCCTGGCCATGGATATGGCACAGCTCATCAAGCCATGTTGAGGCGGAGTCCCACACAGCACAACCAGAGGCACTCACAACTAGAACAGACAACTCTGTACTGGGTCTTTGGGGAGAAGGAAAAAAAAAAAAGATTGGCAACAGATGTTAGCTCAGGCGCCAATCTTTAAAAAAAAAAACTGCAGCTCTTCACAATGATGCTCTGCTCATTTGGCAACGTCCACCATGAATGTCACTAAACACCTTCAGTGCCTGCAGCAGAGCCAAAATCCCAACCCAGGACTAATGCTGAGGCCACATTCCAGGTCCCCAAGAGTGGGGTCCCCCATGGGACCATTGTGGGTAAGCAGTTCCCTGCAGGGAGGATGACGGGCACACAGATGTTAGTCACGAGCTGCTGGATCAGAGACTCTTAAAGATCCCTGTCCCGGCACAGGATGGCTCCAACACTTAGCTTCAGACGTGGCTCCCGAAGGAAGGCGGGCCTCAGCACAGCACCTACGACAGTCCTCCACACAGCAGACTCTTGCACCACTACGGCCAGCAAAGTGTGTCTCCCAAACCCAGAAAGCTATTTTAAAAAGACGTCAACACTTTGAGATGCTGGTCGTGAAATAAGTTAATTCTTCAAATTATGTTCATTCCTCTAAATGGACTAAATTGCTATTTCTTAACCTAACAAAAACTTTGCCTTGGTATACTATTCGATAAAGCAGCACTGTCCATTCCAGACATCTGTGGTTTCTAGTAGCCCCTCGGGCACCAGAGGAAAGATCCACCTGTGTGTGTTTGAGGCTCTCTGAGAGGCAGAGGCGGTCCTGCCGGGAGCAAGAAACAGACCCAGGCTCCTGACTCCTGAGGAAGGCCCCTTTGGCCACACCCACCCAGAGAAAAATCTTGAACCATCCATACAGTCATCAAAATTAGGTATTACTTAAATAAACACTATACAGACCTGAGGGAAAGTACATCTGGTTTCAAGTTTTAAAAATTGCATGTAAACCTACTTTACTACAAGCAGATTTAAAACTAAGACACTCTTTCCAGATTCATAAAATGATTGGTGAATGCTAACTTTGAAAAGTAGGATTCGTTATTCTGGTCACCTAGCAGGAGAGCGTGGGAAAGAGTTATTGGTCAGAATTCCCGATTCTAATCCCATCCCTGCCACTGGCTGTGTGGCCTGGGGCAGCTCACCTAATCTCCTCTGCCAAATAAAGAAGCCACACTGCAGAATCTCAGAATGGCTGAGGTGCTCGGATGTGCACAGGTCCTGCCCAGGAGTCTTCCTAAGGACCACCCAATAACAGAAAGCCAACATATGCATGTTAAAGTCTTGTGAAAAGAAAACCAAGGGCATTTTGTGTAATGCAGATGAAGACATATGTTCTTTACTATAAACTTACACTACAAAATAGTATTTTATTTTCACTATACATTAAAAAATCATCATTTAAATAATCAGAAGTAACCAATTTTCCAGATTGGTAAGTCACTAACACACTTTCTTTAACAGAAATCTAAGTTTCATAAAACTGTTTTCAGGTATTGCTTCGACGTGCATCATGATTTTTAAATTTTATCATGGCAGCGGGAATTACTTTTCATATAAGCCAAAGAAAGGAGAGAGGCTTCAAAATTAAAAGGACATTCTGATTTTATAGTGTTAGTTTAACAAAATATTATATCCCATCTGAACTAACAGTAAGCATCAGAAGAGTCATCCCAATGCACTGGTTTTACCAAATAATAGGAAAAAGCCATAAAAGAATTTTTCAGTTTTGCTGATTTCCCATTTCTTCCTCTCATCCTAAGCAACTGCCTCATTTCTCAACTTTGTAACGTGACATTAAGACAATGTTTATGATGTCCACCTCCACAGGACATGAGAGATTCAATCATAACAGGAAATATGATGGAATATGCCCCAGGGAGAATGAGAAAGCAGATCCACTAGGAGCCAAAACAACTGGGACATAACAACAGGAATGGGGTCCCCTCACTGAACACAGATACTAACTGAGAAGTCTTGTTTGTTCCTCCTCTAAAGACATGGGTGTTCCCTCCAGAATGACAGACCCAACGCACTGAGGAAGCAAGAAGTATAGGGATTACAATCTGGGACCAACACCAGCCTCAGGGAGATGCTGGGAGCTGGGTTGGCTGCGCCAGCTTGCACAGCACCAGAAGGGGGCGCTCTCGTCTTCAAGGGCATCACAATAAGGCTCCACACACTGCAGAGGACACCCCACGACGCTCTCAGCAACCGAGGTGGCAGAAGGGCTGTCCTTGTCTTATCAGGCTCCAAGGGACGGAGCCAGGAGAGGTAAGCACAGGGAAACCTAAGTTCTCAGGTCTGTGTCTGCAAAAACTGACTATCCACTACAATACACCGAGTTGGAGATAGGGCCTTGGGGGAAAAAAGTGCTCAACAAACTTTTACAAATTTTGATTACTACATCAATTCTAAATACAGGAGGATTTTCACAACTTTAATAAGAAAGTGCTATTTCAAGCCTGGATAAATTCTTTCTTTTCTTTTCAATGTCTTAAAAGCAAAACAAAACAGACATGAGAACAATGAAGTAACATGAAGTAATATGTTTATCCAATATGTTTACATGTGTTTCATTAACTCAATTTTTAGTTAAAATATTATAGAGGGAAAAATAAGTAAAACGTGTAGGATTTGTGCTGTAAGGACACAGACAAGTGACTTAGAACATATCACCCTCCTGCCTCTCCCATCATGACCAAGGTCCCTGAGCTCCCAAATCCGGAAAGTGGTGCTATGACAACGCAGGGATGAAATACTGCAGGGAAACATCTTCATGCAGCAAATCAAAATGCACAATCTTGTTATTCACAATATCTAGGAAGAGAAGAAAACCCATGACTGTAAAGACCCCTTCCAGCACACACTCCACCCCAACATGTGAGACCAGCTGTTCCCCCTGGGCCACCATCAAAGGTGTCTTAATGGTGCTCTGTCCTCTCCCTGAGCACCGGCTTCTCCAGAGGCAAATGGTTTGTGGTCTCTGCTCTCCCCCATTACAGCTTAGTTCCTGCTGAATGACAGCCTTGCTCAGACGGGTTCAACCACAGCCAGTGGCGAGAGGAAGAGTGAAGCTGGGTGCCAAGCCTTTGGTGAAAAACCCACAAGGCAGACATCTTGGCAATCACATTTACTCAAATCAGCGTCCTTCCAGGAAAAAGCAGCTTCTCGCCGGTGAGTGACCTAAGTGTGCTGAGAAAAGCCTAGAACCCGGCTGTGCCGCAGAGAGCCCAGTCACGGGAGAATGGAAGGTGAGGACAGGACCACAGAGGACCAGCGGGAAGACAGACTCCCCAGGAGAGGCACTGGACACAGAGGCGGTGGGTGGAGTGAGGGTATCAGGGAGAGGACCCCAGAGGCGGAACACCTAGAGGAAGCCACCCACAGAGACAGAAACGACGGGCAGAAAAGGAGGTTTGAGGGACTAACAAAAAGGTAGGAGAGATTCAATTTTTGCTATGTCACTATTTGCTGGTCCGCCTCTCTGCTACATTCGGGTACACCAAAGCCACCTTTCCCAGAGCACACGTGGCTCAGTCGGCTGCCTCGCTGATAACAAACAACTCCTCTGTCTCCTGGCCACAATGTGCTCAAGGTCTGACACAGTGCAGCTGGGGCCGCAGCCCCCACGGTCCATGATCCATGATGCAGACGGGAGGGTAGCCGACACTCTTGCTACTCAAACCCTGGCTGCCAGGCCCAAGAGCACAGCACCAGCAGGAGTCTGTTAGCAATGCAGAGCTGGGCATACGCACCTGCACTCAGCAAGATCCCCAGGGACTGCTATGCACGCTGGCGTTTTGAGAAGCCCTGTCTTAAATCTGTAAGGACCCTGCGCTGAAGCATGGCTCCCACCACTCGCAGCCATAGAAATGTGCCACAGTCCATGCCAACGTTTCTCAAGATGCAGCAAGGGCAGACAATGGTACCTCCCCCTAAGAGTGCCCCGAATGCAGCCATTCCAGCTCCTCATTCCCTATCCCTGGCCCATTGTCCTCTGCACCACCTCCTCCTCTGCCCTATCCCCTATCTAATGCCTTTCCAAAGCAGTAACTGCCTTCCTATGGTCTCTCCTCTCTGGTCTCCTCTGCTTCTCTGCGTGTCTCTCGTTCTAAAGGACTGTCATTCCTTGAAGAGCCCTAAAATTCTCTATTCCTTCTCCACAGAGTGCTGACGATCTGATGATTATTAGGTATACCTCTGGGCCACCCTTCTCAGCTTTGTCCACTGGTGGCTGAGAGTAGTCATATAAAAGGTGTCAAGGCCACGGCTCCCTTTCAGTTGCTGTGATCTTAGTAGCAGAGACAGACAGAGCCTTGAAAAATTCTTGCCAAGTGAGTCCCGCCTCATGTGCAGGCAATGAATGAAGGGTGCTAAGGAGGTGTGAGGCTGAGAAACACAGGCCAACCAGAATCAAGAGACTCGCTGAAAGCCAGGAGTGGAGAGGAAGCACAGACACTGAGATACGGGACAACTGTAGAAACTGCTCAGGCTTAGACACGGGGAGGCAACAAAGCATCATGCTGGGAACTTCAACCCAAGCCAAACGGCATGAGGGACTCCACGTGCATGAGGTTAGAGTACCATGGCAGGACCGGGACGTCAGCACCCATGCTCCCAAAGTTTCTTTCCAGGCACAGACCCACACAGGACGGCCAGTGAAGCAGCCCAGACCCGTCTGCCAGGCCCACACAGCTCCAGGCTGCCAGGAGCCAAGCGCCCGCAGCTGTTTCCTGCTGCACCTCTAGGTACTTCTGAATCTGGGAAAACCCAAAACACCTGACTGCCCTAGAAAACTGGAGCCCATGTGACTGAGCTGTATTTTGCATTCGCAAGACTGTATACAATGGGTGAGACTACGGCGGATTAAAATATATGAAAGCTGAAAAGCAAATGGAAATGCAAACTCACTGCATACGGCCTTTGTAGGATTTGCTTGTTGTCCAGCAAGAAACTGCAGGAGCTTCCTAATGTCTATGTGCACTTCAGCCATTTGTTCTGGGTTTCTAGCTTGGGAAGCATTTTCAGAGGCTAAAACGACAAGAACGACATTTTAAAATACAAAGTCTTCAGAAGTAATGGAACCCAGAGATAGCACAATGACCATTTACTTAAATAAATGATTTACAATACCACTGATTTCAGCAGCCTGGAGAAATACAGCAAGATGTAAATGTAGTCATTCATTAAGCCCTGACTCTAAAAATATTCTGCTAATTTCCAGGGAATCTCCATTTACAAGGACCTGAAATACGACCCAGTCTCTCCCTTTAGGTAAAAAAAAATGTATCAATTAGTCCTCTCACACATATTTAAAAGATGAAATGCACAGAGCTAATGTAAGGCCTCTCTTCTAAAGGGGAATGAAAAGAAAACGTACTTTAATCTTCTGAGAAAGTATTAAAGGTAAGACCCTCTCTATATTTAATAAAATAAGCAAAACGAGCAACACCAAAATCAGTCATTGCACAACTTATCAACGCCTTGATCATACAGACTGATTTTGCTGCAAGGGTACGCCCATCACTATAAAGTAAAAACCTTTCATGATGCTATGCTAAAATGTGTCTGTAATAAGCAAACTGGTAGTAATAAATTTTAATTCTACAGTGGCAAGGGCCTATTACACCTGTTTTGGAACACGTGCATGTCTAAACCGGTTTTCACGTTATTAGCGAACACTCTTCCTGGTCCTTCACCTCGCTCCGGGCTCGAGCACCTCTCCAACTGCACTGCCCACCGCTGGGAGCTCTGAAGCACTCGATTCTAACCCCCTGAATTAATGCGGTCAATCACCCTATCGGCCACTGCTTACTGAACTGATTCTGTAGTCCCTTATCACCTTGTATGAGACAAAAATTTGATCACATGAGAAAAGTTTGTATTTGCTAATCTAATTTTGTAAGTATTAAAGAGACCAATGTAGGAGAAAATAAGAAATGTGGTCTACCTTTCTGAGCACATTCCAGGTAAGAAACCAAAATCTTTAGTAGCAGAAACAGGAATTTAAGAGCTGAAAGGGCTCTTGGAGATTATTTAGCTGGTGCCCATTTTCACAGACCCTGAGCCAGTCCCTCAGCTGCTCAGCGGCAGGCACAGCTCCTTATGCCCAGTAGGCTAGTCTTCCACTGGCTGCACTGGCAGGTCTCCAGTCTCAATTCTTGGTTCTCTCCCCAAGTGTGAAATACAGTCAACGAAATTTGAACCTTTTCTCATTAGAAACTTCAGTAAGGTGTGTCAGCTGAAACAATTTATCAAAAGCAAAACATAACCCACCAGAAAACTTACCTAATGGAGGATTTCCAAGATCTTTAAAATGAGTTGTAACACACACTAGTTCAGTTTCTATTTTCAAGTTCAATTCTCCATTTAGGTTTGCTTCAATAATCTGCAAATTGAGTATTTTACACAATCTTAAAAAAGAAAAGGAAAGCACAAAAAGAAAACAATGGATATCACCTTCCACCAAACCAGGTACAAGGTAGTCCCACAAAACCCTACAACACTTCCAATAGCACCAAGACCCATGCAGCATCAGCAACAGAGAGAAGACAAGGCCTGGAAAACAGGAACTCAGAAATCTCCAAAAGTCTCCAAAGGAGAGGAGCCCCTCAGAGTGGAGAACTCAGCAGGGAGAGCTGAACACAGGTGGAGCTGGGGGAACTCTGTCTGCCAGGAGACTGACAAAGGGGCATCGGGGAGACCTGGCCCCCGGGGCTCCTGGGAAGAGCCAGAGGGAGCTAAGAGGAAATCTCGGGAGCAAAAGCCCCAGGTGAACAGGATGGGCACCTGGGGTTGAGACAGAGGGAGGGGGAAGAGGGCGAGGGCTCGGCCAGTCCTGGAGAGGCGGCTGTGGAAGAGACTCTGTGCTTTCACAGTCTGTGGTGACGACGGAATCAAGAACCCCAGAGTTATGAAGCTAGACTAGCCTGGTCCACTCTCACAGCTGAAACGAAAACTCCTCCTAAAAGGGGATTCCTAAAAGGACTGTGGTCAAACCCCAAACCAAGATATTCTGAAACGAGACAGAAATAACACTGGCCAAAGAGCACACTTGCAGACAAGAGAGCCACGCACAAAGCAGATGCAAAGTGTAACTCAGGATTCCAGAAGGAGCTGGAAGAAACTAAGAACAACGGAAGCTGCGAGAGGACAGGTAAGTCAGAGTTAGAGAAGCTCAAGAAATGAGATGACCAGCCTGCATGCAGACCAGCCTGCATGAAGAACTGACAGAGCTCAGGAAATAAGTGGAAATACAAGGGAAAATGTCAGCAGCAGAAACTAAACTAGAAGGAAGACATGTGCACGCACACACCACAGCGAGCACAGGAAGAGAAAATGAGGTGGAGAGGCGAAAAACAACAATCACCAAACCGAATCAGAGAGAAAAAGGATCTGAAGGAAAACAACAGATATGATAGTGAAGAAGAGCCCAGCGCAATAGGAGTTCCAGAAGAAAAGCAAAGCACAGGAACAGCATTTGTGCTAATGACTATCCAGGAGCCTTCCGCACGGGGAGGAGACTTGGACAGACGTGGGGAAGGATACCACACATGGGGAAAATGAACCTGGAATGGCCAAACAACTGGATGCCAAAGGAAAGGGAAAAATCCCCCGGGGATCTATCAATGCCTCCTTCCCCCATGAATAAATCCAAGCCACTCACAAGCGAGACCGAATCAGAATGGAATCGTTCTCAGACAGCAACACTCCATACTGGAGACAATGGGGCACGGGGAAAGAAAGCGTGAGCCCAAGACTTCATGTCCAGCCAGACTGACATGGTGAAGCCGTGAAAACTAACGAACCACTATTCCCATAAAGCCCTCCGGAGCGATCTGCTGGAGTATAGTTTTGGAAGACAGGTGTGAGAGTTATCTTCCCCTGTGCAGCCAAAACCAAATGGTGGGAGTTGAGGAGACAGAATAACGTGTAATTATTATATGCTCTGACAAGGTAGACATTATGCAACTATTACAAAATGGGAGGGGGGAGAATGGAGAGAAAGTGGAAATTAGAATAAGCTCGCCAATTGCTTTAATTTTATAAATGGGCCAAACTGTTTGCTACAACTACAAATTTAATATAGCCATGAAGTCTCTAGAATTTCATGAGAACATAACCTTTTATTTAAAAAATAAACTCGGGGCTCAGCCTGGTGGCGTAGTGGTTAGGATTGCGCACTCCGCTTCAGTGGCCTGGAGTTTGCAGGTTCGGGTGCAGATCTACACACTGCTCCTCAAGCCATGCTGTGGCGATGTCCCACATACAAAATAGAGGAAGACTGGCACAGATGCTGGCTCAGGGCCAATCTTCCTCACCAAAAATAAATGAATAAATAAAAATAAAACATAAACTCAGATACTAAAAAGTGAGATTCCCAAATTCAGAAAGATCTGGAGATGCTGTCAGGTCTCCAGCACTTCAACAAACTGCAGTGTCATGTCACCAGTGCACTCTCTGTACTGACAGTACAACTGGCTTGGTGACTGATGCCAGCCCCTCCCAACTCTACACCTCCCACACTCCCAAGGCTCTCTCCACCCCTCATATCTCCTCTAACAGTGTCTGCCTCCTACTCTGCTCTCCCTTGCCTGCGACTTCTCCACAGATCACAGAGGGGCCCTTTCTTTTCAAGCTCTGCGCTCCACTACCAACCAATGGGTTCTTTCAACTGGACAGAATCTAGAAATGAAGTTCAGGGAAAGATACCTATACTACTAACACGGTTTAAGATTTCGCTAATCTGCCAATGGCACACTACATTTCTCTTTTTAATGTTGCTATCTGCCCATTTCTAAAGCCTGGTAAATGTTTGGAAAGTCCATGCAGCAGTTTGCAATTCCCTTTTTGCTCAACTAGTAACACAGGCCTGCCACCCAGCCACTGGAGAGATAAAGGCAGTCGTCCCATTTGGTAGGAGCCAAGCCAAAGGTGCAGCAAGGAGACATGGGGGCTGGGAGACAGTGGAGGATGCCCTGCTCTGCACACTCTGCAGCAGCTAAGTCTGTCTACACTGAGCGAGGAGAACTGAAGATTCCTCATTCTCGTTCCTGAAAATTGGTGAACTGCATATTTCTCATTCTAGAAACAAAACCAAAAATTTTTTTAACTTGGGTGAGCTCTTATTTCTGAGGTTTTTAACATTAAATAGAAAAAGAGCCCCCCAATTTACTTGCTATATAATCTAGTAAATGTACCTTTGAATGGGAAGTATTCATTGTCAGCCTTATTCTTTCACGACCCACAAATATACTGTTGTATTCCTAAGTCCACTCTCCTAAAATCCAGAAACAATACTTGACTGAAATAAAATATATACAACAATCCTTGTGAATATTCTGGACTGCTTACTGGGGCTCTGTAAAGTTAAACACAATGTATGCCCATGTGTCTCAAATGAGCACACATTCAATATCTACCTGTAAATTCTCGTTGCTTTTGAAAAACAGTGGTTTTATCTAAGTAAAGATTTATTCAAGAAAGCAGCCTGCGATGGTCCTAGACTGACTTCAGGCTTAAATGTTCTTATGTTTTCTTCAAATTCCTAAAAGTTTGATTCCTGAGCAATCAAACATCAGATTCCATCTCCCCTGACCGTACACAGTGTCTGGTACACGGCAGCATTCAATCAAAACTCGCTGAAGGAATTAACAAACAACTAATTCTTGGAACCCTGGTCACTCATGTCTATTTTGTGATTGTTACCCAGAACATTACTCACACTAACATCCTCTATTTCTTAAGAATCTGGATAAGAGGTTACTTCTTTCAATGATTTCCTTAATGATAATTTTCTACCGTTTATGGAATACTGACTAAATGTACTGGGCATCTAACATAGATTACCTCTCAATTTACAAAAGGAGCAAAGCCTCTGTGATGGCTGCACTCTCATCCCCACTTTGGGCAACACCCAGCACCAGGGCACACACAGCTGAGTGGGGTGGCTGGAAGTGGCTCCAGGTTCTGAGGCTAACTTTCATCCCAAGCCCATGCAACAGCACTTACTGCCTACTGAGTGGCAGTCCCACCGTGGGGGGGCCGGAATGAAAGACGGTTAAGACAGAGTTTCCCTTTTCAAGAAGCAGGTAGTTCAGGAGGAGTTCCAAGACATTACCAGGTAATTTATCATGCAGCACGGAACAGAGCAGCTCAGTGGAAAAGGGTCTCATAGACAGGGCGGTGGGGAGAAGGTCTGGGAGTTACAGAGTGTCTGTATGGCTCCAAGGACTCACCTTGGCCACTACATCATGGTGCCTCTCACCCATACACCTGGATTCCCTTGTTTTACCCACCAGGCTGATCCTGTGACACTCTGAGGCAGTGTTTCTGAGACAATATTTAAGGTATAACATAGCACAGCTCTTATTACAAAGCACTGCTACCCAACGTGGTGCAAAGCCAGGGTCAGCATCTCTGAACCTGTCAGAAACTCAGTCTCCTGCCCAGCCCAGGGGGTTCCCATGCACGTTAGTATTTAAGAAGCAATTTCTTAAAACATGATGTAGATTCCCAGTGTCTGTGCTCACTTTTCCTGCTGCTACACGAGTCACACACACAGCTACACCCTCATCGGTCACATCTCATTAAAGGAAGTAAGGGAAAGAATGAGAGTCTCTACGAGGGTGGCTTGAGCATCTCCCACAGGATGGTGGATACTTTTAATGTGTTGAGTCCCACTCATTTTCCTTAATTCTCTGTAATCTTCAAACACAGCATTCTGGTTACCCAGGGAGATCTCATTATGCACTTGGCTACTCTAACTTTCTCTACATTTGATAACTTTCCATTTAGTATTCCAGATTGCAGTAGCCACTCTACAAAATTTTTATTTGTTTTTAAGCACTCCAGAGAGAAGAAAAATACCTCTGATGACTTTATCTATCTAAGCTACTTTGCTGACTCATTTCTATTGTACTGAAAGAACAAACAATTAGATCCTTGGATTAATTGCCCTGACTTTTCTCTCCTGGGCCTCTCTGAACCTCTCTGAAGGTCCTCACGCAATCCCCAGAGGAAGCGTTCAGGCTGACAACTGGATCAACATCAAGGCAGTCACAGGAGAATGCCAATGTCAGCAGAGCGCACACTGCTTCATGGGAAGCTGATTGTAAATTAAAATGAAATCCATAAAGATTAAGTTATGAAAGAAAATTAACTCTTAAGTGAGCACAACTGTGGAGACAAAACGGCCCATAAATATTTCCCAGGCTTCAGAAAACTGCTGTAATTCCAAAGATCTCTTGAAGCTAAACTTCATCCCAGGCCCATGCAACAACACTTACTACCTACCTACTGAGTGGCAGTCCCACCGTAGGGGGATGGAATGAAAGACGGTTAAGACAGAGTTTCCCTCTTCAAGAAGCGGGCAGTTCAGGAGGGGTTCCAAGATATTACCAGGTAACTCATCATGCAGCACTGAGCAGAGCAGCTCAGCGGAGGAGGGTCTCACAGCCAGGGCGGTGGGGAGGAGACCTGGCAGTTACGACAAACAGTGAGAATAGCTAAGTGCTTTCCAGGGGAAGACGGGAGAGAAGAAACTGAGTGTGAGTGGCAGAGACAGAACCTGGAAAGAACTGACGTCGTGGGGAAGGATCGAGTCCAGAAAGGTTCTGCAGGGAGGGTGTGGCTATGTGACAGGAGACAAGGCCTGGCAGATGGTGAAGACTGAATGTCTACACTTCATGAGGTGGACAGTGGTTTTTAAAAGACTCAAGGACATCATCAAATGCGTTTTTGAGGGGTGAGTGAAGAAAGAATTCAGGAGAACCCAAGCTGTGAATGAGGATTATCCATACAATTCACCGTCAGTCACATACTGTAGCATTTCATGACATTGGCAGACCTCCACAAAAGTAAAGAGAGAAATAAACGTGCCTGCCTACTTGGCATGAGAGCTGCTTAGAGTTAAGATGGGTGTTGTCCGGGGGATCTTTGTCCTGGGCTCGCTGAGACATTTGGCAAATAGAGAGGACACGCAATTCATGGCCACTATCAGTCATAAAAAAATACACATTAGCAGATAAAACGTGTAATCTTCTGTCCAAAACACAAGGAAAGAAAGCCGGAACTGTCAAACATATTCTTAAAATACTACAAATGTAAATGTAAGGGATCAAGGCAAATACAAAAGCTTTTCCCGGTGAAGGAGAGTTGGAAAGCACTAGAACAGGCTTCTAAGGGCATCTGTAAAACTGCAGACTCTCAACAACAGGCCAGGACCCCAGAGCAGGCCTCAGTGAGGGGACCCTGCACACCTGTGCGCACCACATGGCAGCATCCACACCTTGGGCAGGCAAGGTTTCCTCTCAGGACACACAGCCTAAACCAAATACTTCAAAGCTCTTTTCTAAAGAAATAACAACTTACAAGATGATTGCTGATGTTTTTCATTTTTTCCACAACGCTCTTCATGGTCTTCAAGACTGGTAAATAAATACTAACCTAAACAACCAATGAGAAAAATCAGAAGTATTCAAAACATTAATATGGCCAAGTACCGACAGGCGCTTACTACCTATGTTTGGACTCTGTGTATGCTTAGAAGTTCCGGAATCCTATGTTTTTAAATTGTCTGAATAAATTTTTTTTAAATATGAGATGAAAAACAATTTTACACTTTCACTAACTCATGCCTGCCTGTGGTTACCTCGGTGACGATGGCCGTGTGGGCATTCTCTGGTTCCAGGACTGCAGTCCTTCCGCTGAGATGCCCCTGTACACCCTGAGGAGAATAAGACTCAAGCACCGGTGGGAGGCCTTCCTCTGAGGGATGCACACCCACTCAGGGGCCTTTGTCTCCTCTGAAGAGGTACTGTGAGAATGTCCTGCATCAGCACTCAGAGCAGGCTGTAACAGTGCTTGATATGATGCTGGCTTTATCCCAGGGTAGACGTCTTTTAGTAAAAGTCAAGGAAACATTCTATCCAGTATATTTTCACAATTTCTTCTTCAATAAATTACGAGCAAGAGGCAAAGGACCCTGAGGCATCATTTTTGTTTTCAGTGGCTCCAAGATTCCCGTAGTAGGACTGAAGCAGACTTTCCTCTTGGCTCTTACACACATCCCGGACATGGCTCCTTACAGGACGAGGAAAATCAAGGTCTGTGAGACCCAAACTGGTGCCTAAGGCCATCACTCCCGATAGAAATGACTATCGTCCAAAGTACTACTTTAGTTTTGCTGTATTTAAGCACTACTAGTAAGCAAGACACTCTCCTATCAGTAAAGAGTATGGTGTTTCTATGATATGCAGCACTGTTTTAAGATGTTTTATGTAAAGAGGAAAAGGCAAGTATACCAATTTTTTTCTGGAGTATCCTTTAAAAATGAGTATCACTTTCTTTACACATACAATGGAACTGTCAAACAAAATATACTCTAAGATTGTAACTAAAACCAGAAAATTCAAATCACACCATTTAACATGTGATGAACAACAGGACTCCAGGCATCACTCACATCAGAGTCTGGGACTGTAGGTTCTTGCAAATCCTTCCATAATCTTCTAGGAATAACCTTTACGGGAATGTCGTGTGTCACGATGCGACTACTGCTCGACACAGATAACTGCCAAGGGAAGAATTAAAAAATATTTTTATAACATCAATATTAAAAGAAAACAGAACTGAAGGACAAAAAAAGTTGATATCAAATCTAAATGGGATGTTCTCAGTTCATTCATAAAAGTCCATTCAACAAATATATGGCATGCCTGTTCTGCGCTGGGTCCTTTTAGGAGCTGGGAAGCGTGGTGAATAAGCCAAGGTCCTCAACATTTCAGTGGTACAAATGGACCAATAAGCAAGAAAACAAACACATGAAACTGAGCTACATACAATACACAAAATTGTGATGGCCTTGAGGAAAAGCAAACAGCAACCAGGTGAGCACGTGAGAGGGTCTTAGACTGGGAGGTCAGGAAAGGCTTCTCTGAGAGGTGACATTTCAGATCGTACCAGAACAAGGAGGAGCAGGCAGGCACGGGAAGATGGGGACTAGAGGGACAGTGTACCCGGCAAGGGGAATAGCACATGTGAAGTCATGAGGCAAAAGAAAACTTGCTATGTTGAAGGAACTTAGAGACTATTCTGTGTGCACAGGACATTCAGTGTGCTGCATGTCCACCGTGCTGAAAGGATAAAACTATCTACATCTAGGTCCAGGGGCTTCTATGAGACTCATAATAAACCAAAGCATCCTGTACTCTTAGATAGAAAAGCATTATATGTGACTGTCATGCTTTTCCTTAAGCAATTGAAGAAACACACCAAACTTACATTGTGACATGAAATGCTATGATTAGCTCTAAGAACTGCCTGTCTGCAGAGTTATGAAGTTGTGAAGAAAAGCTGAGGACCCCTCTTCCACAGAGACTGTTAAACTGAACACAAGGCTCACACGTAAGATGGCTACAGTACACACAACACATACAGGAGGGGAGGCCAAGATGAGGGAAGGCCAGGGAGGAGGCAGTGCTGGCGCTGAGCACTAAAAGAAGATAAGGCTTCAAACAGCGATAAGGAGAGAGATTCCCAGTGGAAGCCCCAGCATCACTCGAAGCCCCAGCATCACTCAAAGCCTGGGAGGTGGAAAAGAATGGGACACAGCCAGGGAACCACTCAGAGGGTAGTAGTTGGCAATTTGGCTTCAAGATAGACTGGGCCATAGGTGAAGGGCTTTGACGTTATGTTAAGAAACATGAACTTCAGTCTGTGAGCAGCGAGAGCCTGTGGGGGGTGTTCTGAGGAGAGCTGTGCATTAAGTTCCTCTGGGAGTAGTGTGGAAGACAGATGTGCCACTCGAGAACAAGAGGTCAGGGAAAGGCCTTACAGTAGATGTGGAGGGGGGACACTCCAAAGGTGAAAATGGATAGAAACCATGATTTTTAACTAGGTGACAATACCCCTAAAAGAAACGGAGATGCTGGGATACGGAGATTGAGAAGAAAGATACAGAAGTATTACTGTGTAGGAAAAGACAGCAGCCTGGTTGAATGTTATACGATCACAATGCCATTTATATATGAGGAACCGAATCCAATGGAAATTTTCATAAAATTTAATTTAAATAAAATAAATTTTAATAAACTTTATATTAAACATTTTAAATAAAAATTTTAATAAAATTAAGTTAAATAAAATAAAATTTCATTATGATAAAACCAATTAGCTTTCCACATACTGTTAAAAAGCCTAGGCTGATAACCACTTCTACGCCTTCAGGGAAGTTTCACAAACGCCCCCTCCTACTCACCAGCTCTATAGAGACTGTGAGGCAGGGATAGTGTTTATTAGTCAGCTTTATTTTCAAGGCTCTGGCATTCTGGGCAGTTTTCAAGGCTCGAGATAAATTCTCCGATGTTAGCTCTAAATATATCTCATTGTTTGCTGCGGAGATACCTTCCATTTGAAATTCGCTGAAAAAGTTCTCCTAAAGGGAGAAAAAGCAGGGACATCAGCGTCCTTCCCAGCGCGTTCGGGAGAAGTCCGCAGGCCCCTCGGGAGCTTCGGCTCACCTGCTCCAGCTCACACCACATGCTCACCCCTCCACTGGCCAACTTGTCCGAGAGGATGAAATTCAGCTTATCGGGGCTGATGCGGAGAGTGCAGGTTTTGGCAAGCTTGGCTATCATGTTACTGACTCCTACAGCAGGGGCACAAAGGAAGGATTTACTAAGAAGCACATCCAGTGTCCCCGGGGCCAACTTAGTTTGCAGAAGTAGTTCAACACGGTGCAACTTCCCGGTGGAAAGAGAACGGTTTACAGTGACATCCACTGGACAGCACTTTAATACCGCTGAAGTCATGTCAGCCTCCCAACAGCCCTGCGAGGGACGGGGCACACACCATCAGTGCTGGAACAAGGAAACCAAGGGAACCTAGTGGACGGACTCCCTCGTTCGCCACTCGCTTGTGGCCCACCGGGCGCTGTGGCAGAGCGGCCAGCGCAAGGCTAGGCGCAGTCGGGCGAGGACCAAGGGGGCCGGACCGTGAGCGGGTGCCTGCGCCAGATAACGGTGTCTCCTGGGCCAGCGGCCGGTTTAAGAAGCAAAGCCAGGAGATCCGAGTCAGGTTTTAGAACAACCCTCGGGACCTGCTCTCCGGCCCGCGAGTCGCCACCCGCGCCCACCCCATCCTCCGCGGCCCCGCGCCGCCCCGCCCCGAGCACCCCACCGCGCGCGCCGCCTCCTTCCTGTCCACCAGCCCTTCCCTCCTCCTGTGCACCGCCCAGGGCCGCGCTCACGCGTGAAGTGGTTCAGACAGGCCGCGTCCACGATCTTGGCTCGAAACTTCATGGCGGGACGCGGGCCCGCTCGGGACCTCCGTTGGTGGCGGACTCGGCTCCCGCCCTAAGCGTCCCGCCGGAAACGCCGCGGCGCGCCCATTGGTTCCGCCCGGCTCAGCCCGGCCTGACACGTGGGCTGGGGTCACGCCCTGGGGGGGGAGGCGGGGTTACGGGTCACGCCCCGGGGGAGGCGGGATCCAAGGTCCCTTCCCTGTAGGAGGTGGTGTCCCTGGGTCATGCCCCAGGAGAGGTGAGGTCCCGGGTCACGTCCCTTGAGGAGGCGGGGCGGGGGGGCGGGGTCCCAGTATTACGCCCCGGGAGAAGCAGGGTCCCTGGTCACGCCACCCGAGGGAGAGTGGGTCCTCGGATCCCGCCCCAGGGGAAGCAGGGTGACAGTTCACGTGCCGAGAGGAGGCAGTGTCCCCGGATCACTGCCTAGGGGAGGCGAGGTCCCGGGTTACTCTTCGAGTCACGTCCCCGGGGTAGGTGGACTCCTCAGGCACGTCGCAGGGGAAGGGGGGGAGGGGTCCCTGGGTCACACTCGGGGTTGACGGTGGGGTTCCTGGGTCACGCTCCGGGGTGACGGTGGCATCAACTTTTAGTGATGCGAGAGTCCTCAAGCCCCACGTATGGAGATTGATTTTGAAGATCTCCATACATTTTGAAAGAACTTTGTGACACCCATTTCTGATGGTGTTTTAAAACATCAAAAACAAAATCAATCGGGGCTGGCCCCGTGGCCGAGTGGTTAGGTTCGCGCGCTCCGCTGCAGGCGGCCCAGTGTTTCCTTGGTTCGAATCCTGGGGGCGGACATGGCACTGCTCGTCAAATCACGCTGAGGCGACATCCCACATGCCACAACTAGAAAGACCCACAACGAAGAATATACAACTATGTACTGGGGGGCTTTGGGGAGAAAAAGGAAAAAAAAAAATCAATCTATTTATAAAGAATTAAATAAAATTATCGCTTAAATGTACACCTCAGAAAGCTTTAGAACCCTCTCTTCGCTCAAATGGTACTACTGGTACCTCAGTAGTGTAGCGCCATGTTGGATTATGGTTCTAAATTTACATTTTTTAATTGTAAAGACAGGATGCTTAAAGAACATTGATGGTAAGTGATAATTCTGCAACTTTGTCTCAAGGTAAACTTTACCAGCTCCTGTTAGAATTCTTATAGCATAAACGATATAAATAATACAGAATTTTAAAAAACAATGGGTAATAGAATAATTGTATACAACTTAGTTTTCCATGACAAGATTATCCATGTTAAGAATGTGTTATCTTTAATGTGCTTTGCATATAGGAACCTACAACCTTGCTTTTAACTTGATGTAGAATCAAGATATGAGAAATAACAGATTGTTTTAAAAGTGCAAAATACAAAAATTACAATTTTGCCTATTTTAAGACTACCATGAACCTAAATTCTAGTCTACATTGTTACATACAAGTGTTTGCCAAGCCAAATAGGATACAATGCCAATTTAAATTTTTTTGCTAACAAAACCTGCTTTTTTATTGCTTTACTAATTAATTTTAAAATAGATAAATTATTAAATGAGGTGGTTGCTATGGAGATCATGAATATGATTAAAGAATGTATCTGGGGGCCCACCCCATGGCCAAGTGGTTACGATTGCGCTTTCCACTTGGTAGCCCAAGGTTTCACCAGTTCTGATCCTGGGCGCAGACCTACCACCGCTCATCAAGCCATGCTGAGGCGGTGTCCCCCATAGCACAAGCAGAGGCGCAACTAGAATATACAACTATGTAGTGGGGGGCTTTGGGGAGAAGAAGAAAAGCTAACAGACCTTAGCTCAAGGCCAATCTTTACCCCCCAAAATGAATGTATCTAAATAAGCTTAGTAAGCAATGTTTCATAATATATTGATCTTTACTTTGAATCTTTTAATTTTATGTGATCAAAAAACAATTTTTAAAAACTTTCTTAGAAGACTTGTGTGATTATCCATTCTGCCCAGATAATATAGGGAGTTTTGACCCAACAAATATAAAATTAAGCTACAATGTTCTTTTCTTGAAAGAGAAAAGAAATCTTATGTACTCTTTCCGTTTTCTTAAACTAAATAGGTTTAGCAAATTAATAATAATAATTTCAGTATTGATAATTAAATATATTGACACTGCTTCCCCACATTTTTTCCAAGTGGTTTTGAGACAAGAAACAAGATCACCAGAGATTTCTGGAACTCCCGGGCTACTGAGTTTTCTAATGTGATGTATATTCACATTGCTGTCAGCCTAGCTAGTAAATAGCCTTCTGATTTAAAAAAAAACACCAAACCTCGGGGGTTAGTAATTCAGTCACAGGATGACCTGGGGAACAGTGTTGATGCTGTTCATTATATTTGTTTATTGTGCGAAGAAACACCCTCATCTCGTCTTAGAAACTGACATATAATTAGAGTGAAACGTATAAAAAAGCAGTCAGGATGTGGAGTTGGAAGGAAGGGCACTAACCTGTTTATAGCTGCAGAGGCAGTTAATTCTACCTAGATAAGTAAGATGCATTTACTAGCTGTCACCCAAAGCTGCATCTGCCCAGCGTCTGTCGGGTGCTTGCTTGTCTTCCCCGGTCCCTGGGGGAGGACTATTTGCAGTCCTGTTGTTACCAGTTAATGTTGGAAAAATTACCCAAGAGGAAAGACACTGGCATAGCTCAGAGGTTCTGCATCAAAGTAGACAGACAACATTTACCCTTTTTTTTCTTTTGCATGAGAAAACTGTAAAATGAGGGTAAGCGCACTGTCGAGGTAGCATGAGTAAATGTCTGAGAATTGTGCTAGTTTAAGCGATGGGTTTTGCTTAAGCAGCTCTTCAAAGACTTCTCAGTTTTTAGATGGAAGAATACTTCAATAAATTTCATAAGTATTTTTTAAACTCACATCTATGGAGCCCATGAGAAATATCAGGCATAGCGCCGAGAGTGGGGCTCTGAGAAGGGCACACCCACCACCCAGGAGGAGGGAGACCAGCGATTGTTGGGTACTTACTGTGTTTCACTTACGAAGTCCTGTTTAAATATTATCCATCAGCAGGGTGAGGTAGATAGCTACCACTTGTATAGCACTTTACACTGATATTATCACTTTGACGACAAACACCCATAAGGTCAGTGCTATTATCCCTATTCCCCCTAAAGATGGGGAAGAGAGAATTAGAAATGTCCTACCACACGCCCTTTATGGGAATCTGTGTCACTGGTTGTGAGTGGACAGTGACCCGTGCCCTACTGCTGACTGGACAGCGGTATACTTGACCTGCAGGAGAGCAATTGATAGTGTGGGAATAAATGAAGACCACCCCAGTGAGAAGAGGCAAGGCTGTTTGTTCAGGATCAGCCACCATCACTTGCAGTTTAGCAGAGACTCAAAGGCGGCCGAGGAGAGGGAAAGATTTATTGTGGAAAAAGGGGAGGCGGGGGTGTGCCCTGGTGGGCCTGTGGGCCTGGGGAAGCTGGAGTGGCTGCTAGAAGTGGGGTGTCTCATGGGATTGGTTAGGGGAGCATATTTGGCTCTCTCTGTTGGTCCGAAGTTGGAAGTGGGGCCAAAACTTAGTGAAGCTGTCAGTTGTTGATCACATCCTGGTCATTGGGGGCCAACTGTTACAGGGGGCATTGTTTGGCTTCCTCATCTGATTGCTAGAGACAGTGAGCTGACTTGTAGAGAGCAGGCTGGTGCCCAGGCTGGTTACTGGAGATGATGGGTTGGTTTCCTAGGCAGGTTGCTGCAGGCTGTGGGTCAGAGTTCTATCTTTCTGGTCCGACCATCGTCTGTTTGTACATTCAGACTCTCATTAGACTGCCAGCACTTAATTAATAAAGAGAGCTCTGCTATTTTGGAGTCCTCTTTCAGGAACTGGGACTGACATGCTGAGAATTTGTAGCAACCTAGAAATGGAGAGTATGTCAGTTACGTAGTAGTGTGTAAGAAACTACCCCAAAGGTTGTGGCTTCAACAACAGAGATGTATGGTGTCTCACAATTCTGTATGTTGCTGGGCAGTTCTGCTGCCTCCACCTGGGTGTCCTCATGAGGCTGCATTCAGCTAAAGGTCTGCTGGGCTGGAAGGCCCCAGGTGGCCTCACCCACACGCCTGACAGTTGGTGCCAGGTGTTGCCCGGGGCACCTCATTCTCCTCCCCGTGGCCTCTCATCCTCCTGATGCCTGCTCAGCTTGACAAGGTGATTCTGGACAATGGTCCAAGGAGATGGTGGAAGTTGCAAGTCTCCTGCGGCTTAGGCTCCAGAATTCTTATAGCATCACGTCTGTCACATTCTATTGGTCAAGGCAAGTCATAGGCCAACCTGGACACAAGAGGGCAGAGAAACACACCTCTTCTGGCTGGGAGGAGCAGCAAAGTTGCATTGTCAAGGGGCATACATACCAAATGCAGACAGAGGAATCTGTGCCCATTAAACAGCCTAGTCCCAGGAGCCTGGCTGGCATTGGAGCAGCTGTACTGGCCACGTATAAGGCTGCAAAGAACACCTTCAGCTCCAGGCTGGTTCCTGTCCTCATGAGGTCTGGCTACATTTCATTTTCTCTCCTTGTGTTTCATGATCTTCTGGTAACTCTAGAATAATTCTCTCCCACTTTTACTGCACTCCTTGTAAGACTTTTCTCTTATAACCAAAAATGTCTTTACTGGAACACAAAGTCACAGCACTTGTTAGCTTTGAAAGTGATCATGAACCTGCATCTCCCGATTTCAACCATGCACTCTAAATTTATATCACCCTAAGGAATTAGTATTCAGCAGTTGAAAGAGAATTCTATACTCTTCCCCAACCTGGGGAGGGCCTTGGGAGCACAAAGGGATGCCAACGATGCCAACATCATTACTGCCCAGACTAATTGCTGGGAGCAGGCTAGTTCAACTGCCCTAAAATACTCTCTCAAACCAACTTCCACTTTGGTAGCTTGGAAGTGACTGCATCATTTACTCCATGAGAGCAGTAACCACTTGTGACTCAGAATGGATTCCATCCTAAGTGACCCACTGATCTCTTCCATTGTTTCCATTCTCT